AGGCCCCCTGTTCTCCCGCCGGCGGCGAGAGGGGACGCACCCCCGACAATGCCCGATCACACAACGCCGGGCTACTTTACTGCCAGTGACGGCTCTCTTCCGCCTCAAAGCGATGTGCGAGCTGCCGGGTCGGCCACACGCGCCCGATGCGTGTGGCATAGCCGGGGCCCGCCAGAACAGCCGGAGGTGCGTTGCCGAAATTCGTGGTTGTACGTTCCCTTGCTGCATGCAGCTGCGGGCACCCTTTCTGGCGAGGCTGCATCAGCTTGGAACCGGCACCCGCGCTGTGGCGAGCGCTGGTCCAGACTAGTACGAGCCCTCGCCAGCGCCGAGGCGATTCATGTCGATCAACTGGTTGCCCTCCTCCACGCTTTGGCGGAAGCAGAAGGCGAGGGTGTTGAGGACGCCGACGCCCTCAGCAATGCTCTTCGCAGGGATGGCACTCCAAACCTTCCTCTCGATCGAGCAGTTGCTTGCCTCACGGACTGCGATGGCTACATCGCTGCACTGGCTCAGGCCGCGCTACTGGAAGCATATGGGAGCCACACAGTCGCAATTGAGGATGCCACCCTAGCGGACGCTTTTCGTGCCCACACGGTGGAACGGCCCGTCACCAACCAATCCCAGGCCCGGCGCCGTCGCCATCCTCGCCGCACGCGAGCTCGCCACCGTGCCACTGCCGCCCGTCTCGACTGGCAGGATGCCGCCGAAGAGCTGCATGACTCCCCTGTACCCGAGTGCCCCGCGTCGCCCCCACCACCCGGCCATCTGCGGCCTCCCACCCTGACTTCCCTCGACGACATCGACCTGCTCAACGAGCTTCGCCACCCCGTGCCGACGCTGCAAACAGTGCCCGTTTTCGTGCGCGCTGGCGTGCGCTGAGCGCTCGCAAGCAGCCTCCAACACCTCCGGGAGGCTTACAGCGGACCCCCGACGACCGCGTCCGAGCGCATCGAGCGCGTGCGTGGAAGCTGTTTCTGCTGACACCCCGCATGCTCCTCGTGCGGCCGGCCGAGCAGGGTGATGATGGACGCCGCATCCTCCTCATGCGACTCCAACACTACGAACAGGGGCTGTGGCCGGCGCTTCTTGCAGCTGCACTTGCCGCACGCGCGTCGTCCCGGCCGGCCACCGACCTCGACGCGGAAGCCGTTGCCGAGCGCCGGCGAGAGGCGGCCTGCGCCCGTGCACGCCGCGGCGAGCTTTCGCGCGCTCGCCAACTCCTCACTGCTGCCGAGCTCGCGCCTGGCGATGAGGCGACCTGGAAACGGCCGCCGGAGCCACGCGAGCCCATCCCGCCAGAGGTGTTGCAGTTCCAACCGCCGACGCCCGTGCGCTTGACTTCTACTGCAGTCGCTCGCAGCTTGCGTGAGGCCAAGCGAGGGAGTGCGCCCGGGCTGTCGGGAGCACGCGCAGAGCACTACAAACTGCTGCTGGGCCATGCAGATGATATGGAGCTACTTACGGAGGCAGCTAATTTGCTCGCACAGACTCAGGCCCCCTGCGAAGTCGCGGCAGGCGTCGCCCTAACTCGCATGACAGCGATCAGCAAGCTCGGTGGAGGTGTGCGCGGTATTGCAACGGGGGACATGTTCCGTCGGCTCGTGTCGCGCTCGCTGGCGGCCGCGTGGGCGCCGGTTTTCGATCAGGCTACCAGGCCATACCACTGCCATACCAGTTCGCACTTCGCACTCGAGCGGGAGTGGATGCACTGTCAGCGCGACTCCGTGCAACCCTGGAGAACGATGCTCGAGCCACCGTCGTTTCGCTAGACGGGCGTAGTGCGTACGACTGCATCTCCCGTGCCGCGTTCCTGCAGAAAATGTGCGATGTCGCACCTGCACTGGTACCGTTCGCACGCCTTTTTTACGGCCAGACGTCTGAATACCAATGGTGGGATGACGACGGGGTCCGCCACGGCATACCCCAAGCGGAGGGGTGCGAACAAGGCGACCCCCTTGCCCCCGCCTTGTTCGCGCTCGGCCAGCATGAGGCGTTGCGACGGGCAGATGCACAGTTACGGCAGGGTGAATCGCTCATGGCGTTTCTTGACGACTCTATGTCCTTCTGCCCGAACCATCCCGCGCGCGTACCGCCTTGGATCTGGTGACACGCGAGGTCGAGACACATGCCGGCATATCTGCCAACCTGGGCAAGACGCGTGTTTTCAACTACGAAGCTGTGGCCCGGCGCCGCCCGGAATCGCAGACCTTGGGCCCGAGGTCTGGCGTGGCAGCCGGCCCCCGCAGCAACGTGGCTTCGTCGCACTGGGCACCCCCATAGGCACGCCGGAGTACGTCCGCGCCTGGGGCGCCGAAAGACTCGAAGCCGAAGACACGCTGCTTCGCCAGCTTCCCAAGCTGCCTGATCTTCAGTGCACGTGGCTCCTACTCAGCTTCTGCGCTGCACCCCGTGCTAACCATGCACTCCGGACTGTTCCTCCCGACCTCCTCGCGCCATACACTGCAGCACGTGATGCAGCCGTCTGGGGCACCCTACAAGCCTGTTTGGGCGCCACTGCGGAGGACGAGGCATGCCCCGCTCGGGACATCGCCCTACTCCCGGCCAGCCTTGGCGGGCTGGGACTATCGCAAGCCACGCGCACCGGCCCGGCGGCCTATTGGGCGGCCTGGGCCGATGCCCTCAGTGTGCTCCGTGAACGGTGCCCGGCCTTCTCGGACTGGGCGGTCCGCTGCCTCACTGACGCTCGATCGTGGACTACGGACAGCTTCTGAAGCAGGCAGGCTGCTTGTGGCTGAAGGATGAGACGTACCTTCCTGGGAGCTCGTGGATCCCCTGACCGACCTCGCCCACCTGACCGACCTGACGGGATCGCCGAGCCCGGTGAATGGAGGCATGGGTGGCAACACTGTGCGTCGCGCACACGGAACCTTTTCTTCCGCGACCACGTGCTGCTGCCTTTTTTGCCGCCTTCCCACCGTGCGCTCTTGCGTTCCCAGGCCGGTCCGCACGCCGCTGCATGGCTCCAAGCTATCCCAAGCGACCCCCACACCTCGCTCACCCCTGAGGCAATGCAGATCGCGTTGCGCCGCAGGCTCCGGCTCCAACTCCCGCTCGCACCCGGCCGCTGCGGGAGCGCTGCGGAACCTGGATGCGGCCGCCGTACGGATGCTTTTGCAGATCATGCACTTGCATGCCCTCGCACCGGCCTCCTGGCAAGTCGGGCCAAACTTGTTGAGCGAGCCTGGTGCAAGGTTGCTCGCGAAGCCGTGAGGCCTGAGGGACACGTGGTGCCCCAACAATGGCTCGTCAATACCACCGCGCCAGGCATCGCGCCCGACGATCGCAGGCGCCTTGACCTTGTCATCTACGGCGCCTCACCATTGGGTGGTGCGCTATGCTGTGATGCGACCCTCGTTTCGCCTCTCACACGCGATGGCGAGCCCCACCCCGGCGCGGCCGCCCAGGATGGAGCTGTTCTGCACACCGCCTACCGGCGCAAGCATGCCACCGACCCTGAGCTCGCGACAGGTGGCGCGCAAGCCCTCTGCGTGCTCGGATGCGCGCACCGAGCCCCACCGGCTGTGCGAGCGTCGGCGAAGGCTGCCTGGGCCCGCCGTTGGTGGAGCGTTCTCTCCGTAGCGGTTCAGAAGGCCGTTGCTCACATGGGACGTGCCCGGGCCATGCCGGGACCGGCACATACTGATGCGGTGGCCCTGGATGAAGTCCTTCACCTCGCCGACCCAGACGGGCCGAGCCGCCTGCCGCTGCGCTGAGCCGGCCCTAACACGGGACCGTGCTTTTGCTAGGAGCGGGACCCTGCTGCTGACGGAAAAAGGCGTGTTGAAAAAAAATCTGCTTTCGATTTACGACACTTGCTAATCATATGCTTTTCAATTGTTGTGTCATGCATGTCAACTTGCCATAGTTGGGCATCGACATGTCTCACTGAATAAGCAGGCTGGCAGGACTTGATATCTCATGTTGACCGATATAGCCAAGCCGACTATTCGCCCCAAGTGGTTACTAACCCAACAGGGCTTCCAAGTGCAGGCGGGCAGTACCGACTCCGACATCAACGATGAGGTGGTTTTGTGTGGCATCGTAATCGTATGTATGAAAAACTTACGCAGAGCATGGCGTGGAAAACGCCCGGTGTTTCTTTGTGCGCCGATGTTCTGGTCGTGAAAATGGAATTATGACATAGGGAGACTCTAGGTTGAGTCACGACCAGATTATTTTTCGCACTTTGAATTCAGTCTCAGTTCAATCAACAGATTCACCTTCAGTTTGTTTCCAGGTGGATCATGCAGTTATTTTTTGATTCAGCCGTCGAAGCTGTCAACCCCCCGTGGCATTTTGCGCAAGGTGCGACTTCTAGTTTTTCCCATAATGAACCTGGAGACGTGGTACGATAAAGTGCAGGAGGTGGCTTCTTCCCAGACCATTTCTCGTTGCTGCTGCTGCTGCTACGCTGCTGTTGTTGAGCAGGGTTGAAGGGTGGCGGCAGCCGGGGTCGGGAAGGGGGGGGGGGCGAGGGGGGTTGGGGGGCTGGGGGTCTGCGGGGTGAATTGATTATAGATTGTTTTCGAATTGTTTAGAATTAATTGTTTTGGAACTGATTTTGATTTGATTTTGAATTGGAATTGAATTGTTTCCTAGGGAGGGACCAATTTTCCAGATTTCTAACCACAACCCACCTCCCCGCCCACCGATTGCCCAAGCGAATTGATAGCAAAAGAATATAGTTTCGAAATTTCCTGCTTGAAAGGATTTCATACAAATAGAACCCGAAGCTGCCGCCTGGCGCTGACCTTTGCTATGCATGAGAGGCGTCCGACCTCCACGAGGTCCGAGGCGGCCCTCTGCTCGCAAGCCGCATACCAGTGCATTGACCCCGCCCGTAGGCCGCAATTCTCGTGCACTGGCACCGTGGATGCCGGACGAAAAAAAAACAAAAAAAATAGAACCCATGCCGCATAACTCAAGGGACAATCATTGTAGCACGCACTGCCCCTACGGGGGCGGTTGCGGAGGCCATGGCGTCGGTATGGTGTTGCTCCCAGCATGACTCAACGTTGGTCCGGTTGTTCCAGTTTGCCCAGCCTGAGGCCACATGCCACGTCGCGATGGCAGGCAGCACTCGCGTTTTCCGTGTCGGTACACTTCGTGTGTTTGTGTGGGCAGGCAGCGGCAGCTTTGTTTGCAGTCATTCTGACCGTCGAAGGCGCCATTCTTGTGGCTGGACGACGTATCACTATGTCGTTTAACATGATGTCTGTTCATGTCGGAAATCTGGAGGTCCAATAAGCGCACAGGCAGTTGCCATGCGCGCAGAGGTGCAGACTAAATTTGTTCGGTTGCTGCGACAATGCCTGGTGCGAGGCCAAAGTGGCGGGTGGCAATCCCATCCGCAAGATCATAGACATGCTGGAGACCATGCAAAACAAGGATTCCTGATAATATATCCGCTTACGGCTGTGCATGGTGCATCCAGTCTTGCATGTCGGCATGGGAGGTGCAAGCAGAGGGTGACGAAAAATCCAAAATATTTGACAAGTGGGCAACTCATTGTGCAGTGACCGGTGGGCACAGTACTTTGTCCATGTCGGTGTGTCCAGGTACCAGTGCTATTGCAAATCTACGTTTGCAAAGCTGACGTCGCAAATGGATCAGGCCGAAGATTTGTCAACAAATGTTCATGTTTCCAAGTTTGCATTTCACAGAGGTGAAGACCGGCCTTCCTCAATTGCGATCACGCGTTCGCGAAGCCAGCAGCTCCGGATTCCCCATCTGCAAACTCTAGCCAGCTCTGTGGGTTGCACACGAGATGTCGAACTTATGGATCCCGGATCCGAGGTGGCAGCTTTACAAGCAACGTTGGAATCCGAAGTTGCCCAGCATAAGAAGGAGCATGCGCTCTGCCAACAAATTTCGGATGTCGGATTTTGCTATGATGGAATGCACAGGATAGAGATGAAACAAGAAGCACGATGGCGAGTGCATCATCTCTGCGAAAGAAGGCTATGGGATTCTTGTTCGTTGTGCCTTTCAGCCTTGCCAGCTGCGTGCAGGAGTCCGAAGCTTATTTGAAGGACTGGTTCCGAATCAACCCCGTCGCTTTGAATTACTGTGTGCTTCGAGCTTTCGCGGTCCAGAGCTTTGTATGTGTTTGTGAGCAGGGCTATGTTGCAGGATTCGACGAGCGAGAGGCAAACCTTGGATTCTGTGAAAGATGCTGCTGCCCGAAACGCGAGCGGAGTGAGGTCTCTGCTTGGTCATGTTCTTGTCACGCCGCGTGTTTTGCTATGAAATGCCCAAGGCCATCGAGGCCATCAAAAAGGGTCAAGGCAGCGCCTTCCTGCAGACGGAGCGTGCTACGGTATTGCGAAGGCTTGTGCCACGAACTTCATCATGCCATTAAGCAACCGATTTGAACAGAGATGTGCTCAGGTTGTCCGTCTCGGCCGTCGTTGGCCCATTTGAATTCTTCAGCCTGTATGCCGGTTTCTGCTCGAATATGTTGGCTTCTCAAGGACATGACGACCGAACACCGTGATGTGTTATCTGCTTTTTTAGCATCAGAATCTTCAGGCACAGCCTTCATAATTCTGATCACCACCGGCGCTGCAACTCTGGATGTTCACGTTCTTGAAGGCGATCAGCCTGCCACCGGCCGCATTCTGGGCATGCTGAAGCAAATGAAGGAGGAGACGTGCAGGTAGCTGGAGTCAGACGGGAAGCAGGTGCAGACACGTTGAAGGAGATTTCCGACAACCTCAAAGAGTTGGTGAATCTTGAGAAGCAGCGCATTTCGGAGTGCGGTGCTCTATGGCTTACATAGCTCAAACTACAGGGCGCATGCTCCCGACGAGGCACGAAAGCCTGCTCGATGCTAAACAAAAAGAAGGTGAGGCAGCAACGAAAGCCATGGAAGAGAAGCCCTGCTCTCAGTGCACGTGTTGCCTGAACGCGTGATGATTATTGTCCGACAACAAGGATGCTTCGGCTCGGTGAGCTGAAGGTGGAAATGCAAATGGTAAAGGATGATATCAAGGATTTGGAGCAGCATGTTGTTGTTGGAGTGGGTCTGCAGGTTTCAAAACGCAAGTGCTTGTAGCTGACAGGACAAAGCAGACACTGAAAAAGTCTTTCCCCCAGCCTCAAAGAGCTTAGCGAACCCGCGCCGAAATGTATAGCAAGGCTTTTTATGTTGGTCATAGCAATTGAGGAGAGCTCTTCCTTCTTCGCCGATCTCAAGAAAACATGCGACGAAAAGCAGCAGGTCCATGGACTAGAAATTTGTCCAGGCAATGGTGACAGAGCGTACCAACTTCATGGTCAGGCATGGAATGCTTATCAATCAGCTCAAGCAGAGGAGCTTCAGGCCTTGTCAGAAACTGTGGCTTGGACGAGTTGACAGACGGAGCTTGCTAGAAAAGCAATGGGGCGCATGCTATTATCCGCTGACATGAGGTCGAGTTCTTAGAGAAGAACGATGTGCAGGGTGCGGTACGTGGAGCAATGAACAAACCATCATTGATGCAGAGATCTCCGCAACAGCCTCAGAGCACAGCAGCAAGTGTCGGACAGGAAGGCAAAAGTCTCTCAGGATGTCCGCAGTACCAATCTCTTCCCGATTCATGTCCGAATCAAATGAGGCAGGTTCGTTGGTAGCTGCACTTGCTTTGCGGCATAGCGTGCACAGCCGAAGCATGTTGCAAGTGAGCTCAGCCCTGAATTCCAAAAGGAGCGAGGGAGTTGGCTCAGCCTCCTTCAGATGAGCGCTGGAAGTTCAGATGAGGTGCGAACTAGAGCACTGCATGCTGCGTGGCTGTTGGGAGCTTTTCCGCTGTGGACTCGGGCGACGTGCAGCCTCAGCCGCGACCGGGAGGCCTCCCGCAGCCAGAAGTCGGACTACGCCGAGATGGCTTTGCGCAACTTGGACTGATGTGCGCAGTTTTTCCGTTTTTTTCTCTCGGAACTTGGATTCATGAGCATTGGTTGCTGCAGGTGGGAGTCGACCAGGATTGGAAGTCGCGATCCAAAAACTTGACGAGCTCCTGCATGCAACCGGCATTTGCCGCTGTCTTGTAGGGCAAGTTACATCATTCCCTGTTTGTGGAAGCGCAAAGCCAAAGCCACAGAGTACTCAGGAGCTCCATGATGTTCTGGACACGGAACAAGCATCGGATGAGGAAAGGGTTGGCTTGTGGACGTGTCTGATGACTTTGTTAGAAGCCTCACAACGGCGTCCGAGGAGCGCCAGCAGTACTGCCAAAAAAAATTGGGGAAGGCCTTGGCCAAACCTGGAAGCGGCATGAACAGTCGTGCCATGCTGGAGGGCTGCACAAGCAATTTGAGTCCTAGGACTGGTCATCTATTTCAGCTGCGAGAAATCTGGCGACTCCGCCTCCAAGATTGTGTTTCCCTGAGGCGGCCATGGTCAAGCAGAACAAGGAACGAGACATTGAGGAGCTCAGATACATGTAGAACTGTAGCCTGTATGATCACCAAGGGCTTGGTGATTTCGAAGGACATGTTACATGGTTTCTGGAGTGCAGGATGCGACGACCATCATGGCAACTTACGAGGCCTGGAAACAACATGCGATTGCCACGGCAATTTCCGTTTGTTCTGCACCAGAACGAGCTCAGCACCGTGGTTGACGAGATGAGAGATATGGAGAAAACTATGAAGGACTTGACTAGCTTGGTTGGTGGCTGTTGGCATGCCACGGCTTGTTGAGGAAATGCACGCTCGCCAGATATTGCGCAATTCCTTGGCATGGGGTCTGGAGTTGCTATTGGCATTCTGCAACGGAAGGACACGAGAAAACATGGTGAACCTAGACGAATCAAACCTGTTTGTGCAGCAGGCCTTCCCGGCACTTTCTGTAAACCCGTCAAACTTTCTGTGGACCACCTTGCAGCCCGTGACTCTGTAGACACATGACACGCCCGCCCAAACTGTTGGCTGAGGGCCGTCCGTCAGGAGCTGGATGCACAGGTTGCAGAACTTACAAACACTCGCAAGAGCGAGCATGAAGCTTTTGCATTCAACTCAGCATGAGCATCAAGGAGGGAAGACATGGAGCATCAGGTTCAAAACATGGGCTTGAAAGTTGGCATGGTACTCAGGTCAAATCCCGTGAGACCAACAATGCCGTATTGCTGGCATACTTGGCTGTAAATGGGCCTAGGCAGCTCCAAAGTTTAAGCGCAGTGCTCACAAGTCTGTTGCAGGCACTAGAACTGCTGGATGTGGCAGCGCAGCGCATCGAGCGGCCAGTGTCTCGGATCCTGGACCACATGTTTGTGGGCGCAACGTTGCACTGGAGGTTCTATTCGGGCAGCCTCCTTCAGGCCAGAAGTTGGGAGGTGTTGCGACAGATGGTCGAGACAGCGTCAAGCAGGAGCGGCACGGCATGCACCTTGCCTCGGCGTCGAGGCATAGCCGTCTGCTTGGTTACTCCACATTTCCATAGTCGAGAGTCGACGTGTGAATTTGGTGGTCGACAGGCAGGGAAGAACAAAGGATGCCCCAGATGCCGGGAGCTTGCGCGAATCCCCGGCAGTCCTTGTTTCGACGTCATTTCAGGTTGACCTGACGTACCGCAAGCAAGGCTCCGGTATTCTTTTTGCTACAAATCGCCCTCGTTCCGTCATCCTTGTCGTCCCTGTGCTCCTCGCGCAGGGGGGGCTTCGACTCAGATCCTTATGCTCTTCAATAGGATCAAGGAACGCGTCGGGGGCACAAGGGGTTTGTATGAGTTTGAGCTGCCGTCAGGCAGACCTTCAGAAGCAGATGGCGACCTTGGAGTCCGAGGACAAAGTGGTGAATCACTGAGCTGGCTTGGAGCTGGGCAGGCGGAAGATGCGCGGGCTGTTCCTTTGCACTGAGGGGCAGGCGGAGTACGAAAACATTGTGGAGAATTCCAACAAAAAGAAGACGATCGGCAATGAGAACCTCGGGAGCAAACAGGTTCCCGGCAAACCGGCAAAGCTGCTTCTTTTCCGGATGTGAGAGCCAGGCGGCCAAGGCTGAGCTACAGGTCACGCTCCAACGAAGCTCTCGCCTTACTACTGAGATTTGCAGCCCCTTGTGGTAAGTCTGCTTTGCCCGCCGTCATCCCAGGTCGCGATGAGTTGCGATCAGACAAACAGGCAATTGATTTCAGTGCGGCAGCGTGTGAAGTTGCGCAGACGTTTTCAGAGCGCTTGAGGCGCTGCTGGCCGTGGAGGAGGACCTTGCGCTGGATTGCCGAGGTCAGCAGCTCTTTCACTCTACGGTGTTTTCCGTGTGTGCAGGAGATCCAGAGCTTGCATGCCGAATGTGACTTCTTATTGAAGATCCTCGCCCAGCGAGTTCAAGAAGCTGGAATTGTGGCTGTAAAATCTTGACGGCCGAGCTGAGACTTTCTCTCAGGAACTTCGATATGCGGCAAGATGTGTGCACCCTGGAAAACCATGTCAGCACCGGAGCTTTAGCATGGGTTGGGTGTTATGCTCCTGAGACCAGGCCAGACAATCTGAGCATCGCTCTCTGACTCGTGCAAAAGCTACGCTTGAATCAGCACTTGAGAAGTGAGCATGCCGTGATTCGCGGCAATGTGCAAAACTGTGCAGTACTGCAGTGCTTGCTCCCACATCATCTTCTTAGTGTAGGAGGCTATCTGCTACTGTTTTCATGCAGTCGTGATGTGCCTTTTGCAGCAGCGTTTGGAAGGGGTATGCTTCCACCATTTTCCACCTCCAGTATGTCTGCTGCTGCTAGTGCTTCTTCCAAGGGCAGAGGCTGGATGCCCATCATCAAGGTGTGCATTGATGAAACGTAACTTGCTTCTCAACGATCAATGTTTAGCCAAATATCGGGTTCTAGGGCATGTTAGAGCCTGTGCCTGCGGCGGCTGCGGCCAGTGAGACCGTTCGGCCGTCGAGGGCCGAGAGGCCTTGCTTTTGTCTCCGTGGCTGTGGTTTGCATTTGCTGCGATCGTGCCTCCGGGCACAGTGCAGGCTGAAAACAGTCTTTGCAGCCCCGAAGCTCGGCGGCCGCGAAGTTTAGATTTCGAGCTTGCATTCAATTTGTACTGAATTTGTGAGGGCGTTGTAGTCTGCAGTCACTTCGCATTGCGTCGCGGCGTGACAGCATGTACAGTAAGATGCCGTGTGACTTTTCAGGTCACAGGACAATCTGGACAAGGACTCCCCACATACCAACGCAGCATGTTCTAAACTGCGTGGAGCAGCTTCGAACTTGATAACATGGTCCGCGCAGCCATACAATGCTTCTCGGCTGCAGGCAGCTGTGCAGCACTCGGGTTTGTCCGAGTTTGTGCAAAGCAAGGTGGATATTGAGCTTCCTGACAGTGACGACGAAGACAGTAACAAAAATGGAGAACCCAACAAGGCACGCCGAAGCTCCTTCCGCTGTCAGTTCTTGTGCCGGTAGCAACATTCCGTAGCAGCCCGAATTCCAGGAGCCTGTCGCAAAGCTGACGATGAGAGAGAAGCTGCCCGGCTTGCAGGTTTCAGAGTTGTTGGTACAGCTCCGATTGTAGGAAGGAAGCAGGAGTGCGTTGCACGAGCTGTCTACCCGTGTCCACAGAACAGGCGCTTGCTATTGCCAGTGTCGTCGCAGGTTGTTTCATGAAGGTTTTGCCATACTCGCGGAAATTTCATGTTTTAACCCCAAGGTTGCGAAAGCTGGTCACGAGTAACGGATTCGAGCCGCTTCCCCTTGCATCGCCCGGTTTTCAGCAGCAGTCGCAAGTGTTGTTTGCTTTTAGAGCTGTTACCTCGATGGTTAAGGGGAGCTCTTGGGTCTTGAATTGCGGGCCCAGTGCCAGAATCCAGATTGGTCCTGCATGCAGCCTGTCGGTGCCAAGTGTGTCTGGAATCCAGGGCCATGAGCTGTACCTTGATCAGCATCAACTTGATATTCCTCGGTGTCCAAGCCGATTGAAGCGGCCTCAGCTGAGAGCCCATGAGAAGGATACTGGATAGCAACCGATGTCAGGTCAAAACGGCTGCAGCAGCTTTACGGTGGCCATGATCGGTACTTTGGACGTGCCCTAACTGCATTTATGCTGTCTACCTATCACCCATCCGCATTGTGAAGCATCTCGTCAGGAGAGCTTCACTGCACTTTTCCTTGTCGAGCCCTGGCTGTACTAAGCAGGCCGGCAGAACCCTACTGGCCTCGAACGTGCATGCAGAAGCCAGAGCATGGCGCCTTTCGTGTGTGCTTTTCTCGTGAAATCGTAGACAAGGAGTGGTGTCTTTGCGTTGCTGCGCATGGGGCAAGCTATTTCTCAACTGCCTCCAACTGGCTGGATACATTTATTGTCTGGGTGGTTGGTGTATTCCTGCTTTGGATTGCGCCGTTGATTTTTGGTGCCGAGGGCCTCGCTGCTTTCCAGGCGCGTGGGGTCAATCCTGACTCCGCCAATTCCGAACAGAAGGATGTGGCTCGATTCGACAGTTGCGAAGGGTGCAGGCAAAATTAGGTATTCGGATAGTGCAAAATGATGTTGACGGTTTTGCCATGTCTACTCGACATAGAAGACAGGGATCACACGAGGCCGTCGAGCTGGCGCAGTCTTTTCTTGAAAATGGTTTATGAAGTTGAATTCTGCTCCTCGGCTCGGGTCTCGATGCCGCCATCGGCTCGGGGCAGCGGACGAGCATATCCGGGCCGGTCCTGGCAGCAAAGCTAAGGTGGCCGGCCCCATAGAAAAGGAGCGAGAGGGATGTTCCGTCGGTACTTTCTCGTGTCATCCCCGTTCGCTGGACTTGTCGAGCAGGAACAGGACATGTTAAAGCACATGGATGCACAAGCACGATGTCATCCGCATTCAGACACATGCCCAAGGATTTGAATGCAACTGGGTATGTTGCTGAGGCCCTATGTATGTCTCGATGGTGACATCTTTCCTCGGGCTAGCCTACAGTCCCGCAAAACTGAAAGCCACAGATGAACCATTAGAACTTCAAAAGTCGGTGTCCGCACAAGGCCAACAATTTGATTCAAGCCTGCTCGTACTCTTTGCGTCCTACTACAGCTGGCAGTTGCATGCTATGCCAGACAGATCAGCATCTCTTCTATCTTGACTCGGTTTGGTGCTTGGTTCAGTCTTTTTTGTTCCGGGTCGGCGAAGCGTGGGCAGGCGATTCGAGCCATCAGAGGCATGCGATCCTTGCGGTCTTTCCGAGTGCTGCGACACTTCCAAAGCTTCCGGATGTTGTTGACGGGCTTCTTGGGAACAATCTTCACCCTGGCAGCAACTTGGACACGGGGCAACAGCATAGCATTTAGGGTCTCGGGCTGCTCTTCTTCGGCCCTGGCTCTTGGAGAGCTCAGCACCCACTCGCAATAGGCATGCATCTTGATGATCTTCCTGACTGACTTGACCTTCGGCATCATCTCCGTGGACATCATAGGCCATGCTGCGACATAACGACTACTGCATGCGGGAAGCTCGAAGCAAGTTTCATGAGGAGAGCACTAAGTGAATCAACGAACTTACGGCGAGTTCTGAGAGGACGAGATTCCAGATGGGGAACGGCTCCGGAAGGAACGGCGGCCTGGTACTTCCAGAATGGCTTGATTCAAGCCAGCCTAACCATGTCCCGTTTCATTTTCAGTGCCTCGGTTGTATTTAAGATCGCTGTTGACACTCCAGGCAAGGTGCAGGTGTGCCTAAGATTGACGAAGGCGACAATGCAGTCAGCCTGATTGAAGAGCTGCAACAGACACAGCCTTTTATCTGGATCTATTGCTTTGCTTTCATGGCGATCGCCGCCTACGTCATCCTCAATCTGGTTACAGCCACGATCTGCAACTGGACCACAGTAGGTACTGATGCCAAAATGCTGGGTGTATGTGTCGCAACGAGGTGACAAGGCGCAGGCGATCGTGAACGAGAACGAAGCCGAGAGATTGTTTGAGATGCGAATGGAGGAGAAGCGGAACATGAAGGACCTCAAGTAACGTGGCGCCGACGGCTCGCCTGGCTCGGCCTCGCTACGGTCTTCGCTATGTGCTGCGTCAGCCAAGGCATATTTTCGAGGTTCTGGATGAGGATGGGAGCGGTCTGGTAACGACGGAGGAGTTTGATGCCGCTTTCGAAATCCAGCGGTGCAGGTGGGAACACGGCCGCTGTTGACAAGGTGTTTTGCAGCAGTGCACGTTCTTCAGGGACAAATTCTTCTTGCTGGGTTTCGAAGAGGAAGTTCGGGCCTCAGACCTATTGCATCTTGTTTATGTAGAAGAATGTGGGATGCAGCAGTCACGGAACGGATTCTCAGGAGATGAAACAACTTTTCCGGGTGTTGGACGACGATGGTCAAGGTGAGCTAAGTGTCTCCGATACTTGGATTGTATCGGTCTGTTGGCAAAGACTTGGTGATACTCCCGGTGTCGCTCAGGAGTTCCTCAAAGGAATGGCACAGGTGCAAGGACCGGAATGCGCGGGCTTGTAACTGTGACAGGTGGAGAAACATGGTGTGTAATTTCGCTGCACAAGAAGACGACCAGTGGTTCACAGTTCGCATGAGTGCAGCTGCTGAGCAAGCTCGATCGACAATGCAAGTGCAGGAGATGCAGATTCGAAAGCGATGCTGGTGGCCAGCAAGACCATGGAGAAGGTGCTTGAACCACACTGAAGCATGCTTGTCACATGTACTTTGTTCCTGTTCAGGTCAAGGTCGCCTATGAAAAAGTCATGGGTGCAAAAGGAGGGACGGCGTCCATGGAGCTCCGCCGAACAATCCGCGCTGAGCCGACATTGGACGAGCAGCTGACTTCCTTGGCATCCTGTCGTGTGTATGAAGTAGCGAGGTGTGGAGGAAGCATTACCGTACGACAGCCAAGGAAAGCTATGCCATGGCTCGCCTCGACCGGATTGATGAACTGCTTCGGTCTTTCCATGCCAAAGCTGATTCTTTCGAGAGGAAGCTACGAACAATCGAAAGTTTGCCTCCGCCTCCTGCACCAGATGGCAAAGCCAAATCTGGGGAGGCTGAACCCGCTGATGATGAAATCATGATGGAGACGGATGAACTGTGAAATGGCGTCGTGGGATGCAATGACAAGGTGAATGCCGTAGTGTGTGGTTCGCATGCTCGCACATGCTCGCAGTTGTGCCCTGTTCTGTGATACCGCTCCGGGCTCAAGCGGCTGTAGCCCAGTCCAGGCTTTGCCATGGCCGAGGTGTTATGGGAGCGATGGGATCGAGGTCTGAAGCCCTCAACCCGCTTGATTTCAGGATGATGCGACTGCAGCCAGAGCAAAGGTACGAACGTCAGCTGCAGAGTCTGCCCAGTGTCACAAGGATAGAAATGCTCGTTTGTCAACCAGCGCAGGATGCAGCCAACTTAGATGCTGCCGCAAAGGCAGCTTTAGCTCAGACCTCGGACTCGGAAAGCTTGGCACCTTAGTGGAAGCGTTGTCATACAATTTCAAAGGCATCGCTCCAGGGCGTAAGCTTCTCGAGCAAAGGTTGGGCTTCGGTCTCTCGCAAGCGGAACGTGCGGTGCAGTTGCACCTGTGACCTGCCAGGTGAGCATAGTGCAGCCCAGCAAAGACCTGTTCCTCAGGCATGGGAAGGTTGAACTTCGAACATGCCAACGCTTGTACGTACTATCGCCTTGCTAAAGCAGGCCCAACAAGGCAGCGAAAAGCAGGACCGACTCTTCGTCTCGAAGGCAGTTCTCTGGAGAATGAAGAGGCAGTGGAGGATTTGTACTGACATGTCAGGTGTCCCAGTCGTTGGGCCAAGCCGAACTTCGGGCACACTTCGCGCAGCTGCCTGCCTGAATTATCAGGGTTTGCAGCAGCTTTAGAACTTAGTACGGAGGGCTGGCTGGCTGGCTTTGTATGGATTTTTTTATCCTAGTACGGTCGTGGCCTGTGGCTCAGTTACACTCTTTCCTCTTGACGTCGACTATCCAAAACCGCGCTTGCTGGCATGGCATTGAGACGACGTTACAAGCTACAAATGGCTTTTTGCTTCTGTTGTTGCGCCCAAACCTGTAGCAATTGTTTTTGCTTTTGGATACCCCCGACGGGCCTGGGAGTGATACGTTGTGTGAACAACTGCGAGTGCAGACTCGGACCAGCCCAGAGCGTGCGGTCTTGAACTGGTCTTGACCAGCTGCGCACAACAGATTCCTCGGACATCTATGCACGACTTGTTTCGTGCTGTATCGGGGTTCACTCTCGATTTTATGCGAGTTTTCTGGTAGTGAGGTCTGCGGCTGGTGTTTGTTTTTTCCCGCAGTAGTAATAGCAGGACTACAGCTACATCGATTGTATCAGTAGTACTAGAGCAATTTGCTCCTACAAGTGCAGCGTTCGAACAACCTTCCACAAGGCCAATCATGCTGTCAGCAGGCGTTTGAAAATTGAGCTAAGGTTCGGTGACCTGACAGATGTCTACCTACCATCTCCTCCGGGTGGTGGCCGTCGCCTCACAAACTGTCGCAGCTGAGTTTAGGTTTTGCAACACTTGTAATTGATGCGGTCGTGTGATGCTGGGTGAGACTGTCGCCGGCTGTAGTTGCCGCTGAGCAGCAGACAGCTTGCCTGTCAACTTGCCATGCTTTGCAGGAGGGCACAAAGGAATTTGCTTTGTATCTTTCGCGCATGCCTGAGGAGTCCTGAGCCTTGAAGCATTCCAGAAGCATCCATGTATAGCTGACCTGCGCCGAGGCTGATGCTTCTGGCATCCAGAAAGCAATAGCACATGGAGCGCACGAAGTGCAAGGTAGACTGCGATAGTGAAGATGACGGTTGAAGAACTACTGTATGTATCGCTCTGCAGGTAGTCCAATATCTGTGGACATCGCGGCGCCGCGAGCGTTCCCTGCCGAAAAGCCGTAGCATGTTTTTCTGACGGTCACCAATGTCGGCAGTCCTTTCCAGAGTTCCAAGGCCACCGCCATCCACAGTGACAGCTTCCGTGCAGAGCGGGTGCCGCGTCTTCTTGACAAAGGTGCCCTGAGAAGCGGTTTCAATACTTGTTCTGCCTGGCCCGCATTGAGCGAGATGCCCGAGTAAACCCATGAGTTTCTGGGTGCCATACAGTATGCACTTGCTTGCATGCGCCTCTTCTTCTTTGTAGGTGCCCACACATGCGATGTTAGCCTTTCAGCCTCGAGCTGCCAAGTTCCTGCAGGGATATCTCTGACCATTGCAGAGCACACATGTGTCACATAGATGCTTTACATTTTTGCACCAAGGTAGAAGTTATGTTATGTACATCGCATTCTAGACATGCAGACAGACTGACAGACTGACGGACAGACTGACTGACAGACCGACAGGCTGACAGACTGACAGAGAGGGATTGGGAGAGATACGTGTCGACCATAGTGAGAAAGAGCTGCAACGACGGGTGAAAAACAAGGGCACGGCACGAAACGAGTCGCGCCCCTGGTGGAGAATACACGAGCCATGGTCTTGACTCTGACGGCAGAGTTGGCGGTCCAACTGCCGGCCATGCTTGGCGAAGGTTCCATATGGGACAGCCGTGGCACAGCTGCACACGGCCGAAAGATTTGGAGTCGGAGTGCCTGCCAGAAGCTTCCTTGCATTCCGCCCAGACTGAGGCTCGCAGAGACTGCTCTGGTTGGATATCTACGGCGGCTCGGTCGAACCGGTGCACGCTGTGCATCCTTTCCATGAGCGTGGCAGCAGCTGCACTGTCCAGGTTGCAAGCTTTACCGCTTTGACCCAATTTCGCAGCTCAACGAGGAGTTTGACCTAAGCAAATCTTCGGCCTCTGTGAGTTCAGTCGTGCCATTATCTCGGGAGCTTGACCCTGATGGCGATTCAGTCGCAATCACTCTGCGAGAGGGCTTTGCAGGGGCCTAAGTTCGCAAAATGTGGCTCCACTCGAACCGACTGAGATGTTCCTGTCCCTGCTGGTTCTGCAAAAAGCTGAGGCAATTTACAGCTTCCGCACGCGGAGCTTGGAGAGGCTAGGCAACGATCCACCTATGGGTGAGTTCGAGCGCTTCAACGACGGTAAAGTTGATCCAAGAGGTTGCTATTGGGCTGGAACTATTACGCGGGACAAGGACTTCAACATCTGCAAGGGTGCCACGCTGTACTGCCGAGACATTGCTGGCAATGTTTCGCCGATCTTGACGGACTTGAGCATCTCAAACGGGTTGGTTTGGACGAAGGATGGAGCAACCATGTATTACATTGATACACCCTCAGCGCAAGTTGATGCCTTCGATTTCAACATGCAAACCGGGGTGATTTCCAACCGACGTGCTGTTATAAAGGGCTTCGATTTTCACACAACTGGATTTCCGGATGGGATGCTCGGCCGAATTTTTTGATTGCATTCTGCAGCGCTGAAACGGCATGTAAGTACCATGAGTTAGCATATCGCATATTTATCAGCTCCTGTACGTGCGAGTGCGAGGTGTGCCATTGACCAACAGGATCGACTTTGGATAGCCCGCTTTAATGGCGGCTGCGTGGGTTGCTATGATCCGCGATCTGGCAGCCTTCTGGCAGAAGTTCGCGTTCCGCCCGAGGCAGGCAAGCAGGCTCGTGTTCTTGTTGTCCGACATGTTTCTTAGCATTTAATATCATTTGGAGATGAGTATGTCAGCAGGCTGCAGGGAACTTCGTGGGACAGAGCAAAACTTGGCTGTTTTCTGTATGCACCAGGGCTTAGCAAAAGAGTATGCCATCAAGTGCAAGATAGACTTCAGGACCCCTTACTGTTCTTATCTGTTCTTGAGCTCGTCTGTTGGGCACGTGGTGGAATGACCCTGGCCTGGCTTCAGGTGACATCTGTAGCTTTCGGCGGAAAGAGCTTGGACGACCTTTACATCACCACAGCCCGGGAAGGTTTTGGCTCTGATGATGATAAGAGATTCCCTTTAGCTGGATCGTTGTTCGTGGTGCGCAAGGCTCGCCGATGTAGGATGGTCAGCACAGTAGCAGTGGTAAAGTTCACCGCAGTGGTTGGCCCTGTCCAGGCACAACTCGCAGAGATCGGCTCAGTTGCCGGCCAACCACCACACGAGTTGAAACTTTCGAAGCTGTAGCAGCGTAGCGTAGAAGGTTGACCGCATTCTCAGCGGTGTCAAAAATGCCGCATGTGCCGGACGTGGACCGGAAGGAGCTGTGCTTGACTTGGCCCGTGCAATTGCAGGTCACAGCGGACGTGACGAGAGCAGACCTCCAGGCAAGAGCTGCTCGCAGACAAGGCATTGCAGTCATGGGTGGCATCGTGCATGTTTATCTTCTCAGCACATTCTTGGCTGGAGCCCAACTGGCGAACTTCTCATGTGAAGCATGCTAACATCTAGAGCTGTTGCCGAGCTGCGCTAGACTTTGGCCGAATGCCAGAACATCTGAACGCATGTGGGAGTGTCTCAAGAGTTACACGAGAGTAAGCAGCTTTTGTTTCGGTTGACGACCTTCAGTCAGTTTCCCTTAGGTTGGTCAGAAACTCATGGAGAGGATGTCGCCAAACCATGGAAATCCACGTTGTCGCAGTGGAGGCTCGTTCCCCACTGGGAAACTATGCAAACACGCAGGCCTCAGGGCTTGCAATCTGGCCAGCAGCTGGGGCTCCGTTGATTGTCACGACCTGCAACATCAAGCCAGGCAGCACCGTAACGGTGGCTTTTTCAGGAGTGAGGCACGGCGATCGACAAGTCGTCGAGGCCCAACTGACGGCCTCGACTCGGCTGCGCCAAGCGTCTGAAGCTTTCCTGAGCTTGGAATCCAGAGGATGGCGTTGCAGCGATCCAGGCCCGAGCTTGGGTGCCGGACTGCATCTCCACCTGCTGCGACTTGCGGCAGACTGGCAGAAACCTTACCACGATGGACTGTCAAGCTGCTGGTCAGATCCGCAAGAGCAATGGATCAGCCGAGACGTCCAGTTGGTTTTTGCACCTTTCGGTGCACGATCCGCCCAAGCTGGCAATCCACTGCCTCTGTGGACGCTGGTTGCGCGAGGATCTAGGCAGCACTTCGCGTGTGCTGTCTTGGTTCTTTGTCTCGAGGTGGCTTCTGCCCTTTTCAGGAGTCATCGTTCCTACGCGATCTTACTTGGTTCATCCATACCGGCCAAAACGATGCAATGTTAACTCGAGAAGGCAACCTCTGCTGTCCCTAATGTTTGCAGTTTGTACGAATAAATCCCTGAGACGCAGGAGCGCCGCAGTAAAGCGCTCTAACCTGAACCAGGGGGTGGTAACAGGAAACTTTTGGCTCGAAATTGTTTCAGAAAAAAGGTCCGCTGTTGCAGGAACTGGGGGGAGGCCTGTAACAGCAACCGGGGGCTTGTAACTGGAACTGCCTCTCCAACACACGTGGCGTGCACCCTCCTCTTATTACCCGCCACTGTGTTTACCGTACCCCTAAATTTTGA